CACAGATGTATACCTTTCAAATATATGTCTGCACTATTTAGTACTTCTAAATAGCACTGCTGCATGTAGCCACCCCGTGTAGCTAACCATAAGCAACACAGTCCACCTCTGAAGAAATGAACTTGGGGAAGCAGCCCAGACATCTTTGGAAGTTGGTGTGAGATATTTGTGCAGAAAATTCTGGGTTTCTAGGTAGCTGGAACATGGTCTAGAATGGGAGAGCACGGTCTATGGGAGAGCCTCATCCAATAACTCCCTGGACTTTTCCAAAGGGCCCAGCTAGCACAGAAACCCTCTTGCCTGTGTGTAATGGCAGTGCAGACCCAAACACTCATCTTTACAGTTTGTGCTTGCCACTCAATTTTCAAAAGTCATATGTTAGAGATACAAGGGAATAATGTAATCCAAAAGTTAGGAAACTGTTAAATAGGAGGATGGGGAGGGATGTGATTGGGGAGGTGCACAGAGCAGGTTTCTAACATGCTAGGAATGTCTTATTTCTTAACCTGGATGATAAATATACAAGTGTTCATTCTATTATTCTTTCGACTGTACATATAGGGTATGGCAAAAGTAGGTTTATTAGTTGTTCATATGGAACGTAATATAATAATTAATAAATAATAATACAAGAATAAACTATGTTTCAAGTACAACTGTAAACCTGGTTTTGCTCCATCTTATACACATTTTAGAGACTCTTCTATATACTATATACATGATATTATAATGATAACTGAAAGACATTAGCTAAGTGATCAAAAAAGAAAGGCAGAAATGACATATATTGTCTGATTCAATATTTTAAAATTATTTTGGCTCACAGTCTCACTTTGGATGTCTAACCTTGGCTTTAGTTCTATAAGACCTGGTAATGTTTAATAATAAATAGATACCATGCTAACCACTACCCAAAATTGCCTGGCCCAATGTAATTTTCAATTTCTCACACTTGCTATTTTCAAACAAGAGAAAAAGAAACAAAAAATTGAAATAAATTCATCTATAATATTTTTATTTACTTACTACAAAATTATCAGTATTCACCGATATTTATATCCCCTTTAAAGGATACTCTCTGTCTACAAAAACCAAATATTTATTTCAGCACTTACTAAAGGTGCTCAATATGCTAGAACACATGAGGGTTTCATAGTCTGATGGAGAAGAAGGATACCTAAATAATTAAACAATTACTTATCACAGTCACTCCACATTCATCTGTGGTAACTGGTATAATGGGTTTGAAAGGATGAAGAATGTATGATTGCTGCTATGCCATGCCAAACTCAACTGGTTTATTTTCTTCCTTCCCACTCTGCATATGTGGGAGACGGACAATGGGGAATGGGGAATACCGGTAACTCAAATGGTGTATTATCAAATAATGTTAATTAAGCAGTCACCTTACACACACACACATACACACACACCCTCAAAGGGCATTGGCCTTATAAATGTCACAGTGCCTAAAATTTCTGTCTATAAATCTATGCCATACCACTGTAGACGATTTTTAGAGGGATCTTGGATTTTCTTTCAAATGTAAACATTTTAAAATTAGACAAATTTAAAAATTCCACTAAGGTTTTCCTAGGCCTTATGATTTCAAGTAAAAACTAAAGCATGGAATTCAATATAAATACTTAGTGAGGTATTATCACATTTGAAGAATCATGCTAAAAAAGTATGGTACAAATTTGACGCTGTCAGGGCAGAGCACAAGTAACATGTTTTCATCCGGCAAAAATTTTGTAGTTACTCTTTCTAACTGAAGAACAATTTTTGCTACAGCAGACACTAACATTTGCAAAAGATGCACTCACACTTCTCAATCTGAATCAACCTCATGGTTGTTACAATGGTTGTTAAAATGCATACTTTCTGGATTGCTCATTGTTTTAAAATACTGAATATTTGTCGCACTGTCAATCATACGTTCCAATTTCAGGTTAGTCACACTACTCTTGACCCAGGACTCCCTTCTCCCCGCACCTGAACTTTCCACCAACAGAGATCTATGCTTCTCGTCTTAAAGTGGTCATAACTGGAAGAGACGCCGAAACCTACGTGGGTTTAAATCCTTGTGTGTTTCACTTGCAAAAGCTTAATCCGCTTTCCACGTCACTCAAACGCAGAGCTACATTAAACAGCTTCTTCAAGGTCCCTTACTTGCATATGCAGATTTCTGAGATTAAGAAGAATCTCTTCTTGGGAGTGAATTCACCAAAGGCCCCTATGTGAAATCAGCTAGCCAGGCCAACCGCAGGGTTAGAGTGAATCGGATCTCTCTTTGAAAAGCCTTCTTGGGGAGAGCATCCCACACCAGCAACAGAGCGGCCCCTGGCACCACGTGTCTGTACCAACCTCCGGATTGGCTGAGCACATTTTAGCGCAGCTGTCTAGATGTGCAAGGTCCCGCCCAGCTGCCAGAGGAGCTGGGACGTCTAGGGAAGAGGCCAGAGAAAGATCGCGGAGGGGAGGGGGGCGGGTGGGGGGTGGGGGATCCAGAGGCGCCAGCGGCCTAGAGTCTGGGAGGGCTCCGAGCAGCGCCTGGCAGCTGCCTTGCCACAACTTGCCCAGACCAGACAGGCTTTATCCTGTATCTTGGAAGGAGCCGGCTCGCCGCTTCCCGCTTGGCTGCTACTGGGCCTCCGCGGGCCTGACTGCACTAGCAGCGCACCTGGGTTCTGGGTCCCCAGCATCGCCCCCGACCGCCTGCAGCGCCCGGCGCCCGCCCAGGAGCGCGCAGCTGGGGTAAGCCGAGGCCTAGGATGCGCCAGGAACTCTTGGGATGCCCGCGGCAGACGTGGCATCTTGGTGCCCGCGAAGCCGAGCCCTCCACCCGCTTCCCCCGCTCTGAGTAGAGGCACTGCAGACACACTGGCTTGGCTGCTGCAGCCCCCATTCGCGTTTGCCTTAAGAGGGGCGGCGCCAAGGCCCCAGTGGAGCCCGCGTCCCCTGGCCTTTGTCTTTGCGGGTTCAGGAGGCATCCCTGCGGTACGCCCAGCTGGCGGCCCTACCGGGGTGTGGGAGATGGAGGGAACGGGAAAGCGTGGCCCCTTCTTTCCTGTTCCGGCCATCTTGCGAACGAGATTCAATCAAGGAGCGAGAGTGGCCAGCCCCGCGGCGCTCGGGGCCAGAGTCGTGGCGGTGAACAGGGATAGGTGTCTCGTGCGCTCGTGCCTCCTCCCTGGACTGCAGTGGAGACGTGTGGACAGTCAGCTGCAAGGGCTGGGTCCCAAGATCACGGGTGAATCTCGATAACAGGCCAGAGGCACAGAAGAAAACGAGGGATAAGGGCTGGGAACTGACATTTACTTTAAGCACCTAATTCATTTGATCATTCTTTATCCACGTGTCTCCGTTCGGCAAATTCTTAAGGCCTCTCCCTGCCTGTCCTGTGCTAGGTGCTGGTGATAATAACGGTGAGCAAGAGAGACCTCGGCCCTTGTTCCCGTTGATCCTGCAGCCCAGTGGATGGAGTCCACAGTTCACAGACCTGCCAGGTCAGTATCCTGACGCCCTTTGAAGATTGGACAATTCAGGCCTAGGGCTGACATAACTTGTTTTAGGTCAGGCAGCAAGTAAATGAGACTCAAACTTTGAACCTATATCTTTAAGACTGCAGTGAATCCGTAATACCTCCCCCCCCCCCCCCCCTTCCAAGCTCCAGTACACGTTCTCTGGATGTATGGTTCCTATGAAGTCATATGAAGTGTATGATTGCTTCCTGGATGCTTCTATGTAGGCTTATTTCTAGTTACAATATCTGGAAAGTGGTAAAGATATTTGATATTACAGCGTTGCTTCTGGTTACTCTGAATTGTATTTTTCTTTCCTTTGTTCTTTGGCTGTTAGGAAAGACAAAAGTTTTCCTGATGGTTGGTCCAAGCAGGGGCTCCCCGGTGGATTGAGGAATGTCTGGCTTTTCCTCAGCTCATTGATTTCTGTGGTAGCCACAGGCAGCCCTCAGAAGACCCCAAGAATGAGAGGCCCGAGGTCTACAAGTTGCTGCTAGAAATTTTTTAGCCTCTCCAAAAAACAGAATGCAGCTGCCACACAAGTTTGTAAGGTAGATACCAGAGCTCTGTAAAACCTGATGGTAAAACTGATGGTCAAGTTCCCCTCTTTATAATTTTTTTTACCTTCACATTTTGAAAACACATCCTTTTGGGGAAGACAAATTATTAAATATTCGGGGAAGTTTTTTGTTTGTACTTCTATCAGAATGTTAACTTAGGTGGCCAACCCATAGAGGAAAAAAAGAGTCCATTTAAAAAAGTATCTTTCATGTAAGAAATTTAGAAAGCCTACCACCAAATATAATTAACTACACTACGAATTTAATTTTAAAAATAACCTTTTGAGGTACCATTTACAAAATGCACGCTTATTTTCAGTGTGCAATGTGATGAATTTTGTCAAAAGTATATGCCCTGGGAATCAACAAAACAATCAAAATATACAGTATTTTTTTATTATTCCCCAAAGTGTCTTTGTGCCCTTTGGCAGCCAGTCTCTCTCCATTCGTTGCTTAATGTTTTCTGAGTTGTGTGTAAAAAAATGAGGATGAATAGATATTTCTGATCTCAAAACCTAAGGCGAAAATAGGAGTGAAAAATCAGAGGATGGCAACTAGGACCCAAATGTCCTGGGGATATGGACCTCCGTGCTTTAGGGACATGGCCTGTCCTGCCCAAAGCCTGAGAGGGTGGTGCCCCGCGGAGCAGGGGCGCTCACAAGGTGTCCCCTCTGAGTGGACGAGGGTGGTCACTCAGGCTGGTCTAAAAGGTTTTCTCTGGTCTCCCAGGGCCCTCGGTGCACGCTGACCGCGCGGGGGGGCCAGCGCGCCCTTTGCTCGGAGTCCCGGTGCCTGGGAACGCTGCCATAGCAACGTCCTAAACGCCCAGAGCTTAGGCCGCTGCTGCCGCCGCCGCCGCCGCCGCCGCCGCCTCCTTCTGGGACCTGGCCTTCTGCTCCCGAGGGGTGGGGCGGCGGCGGTCCGGGAGGCGGCCTGGGCCCAGCAGACGAGGCCGCCCGCTCCTCCGATGCCAGCAGAGGTGGCCAGTTTGCTTCCAAGCATGGTAAGAAGCGGGAGGCCTGGGATGCCCGCCTGAGGATATCAGGCTGGGGCGGGGGTGGGGGGGTGGGGCATGGGACTCACAGCTCCCTGCTTCTCCCGCCTTGTCTCCTTCCCACAGCCATTCCACAAGCAGGTCTACTACCCACTCGCCAACGGTCTCGAGGGGCCTGACGCCTCCGGAGGGGCCGCCGCTGGTGCGGCCGCCATGGCCTGTTTCCCCCCCAGCGCGGCTTCGGGCCCCCTGCCGTTCTTCCAGTTCCGGCCGCGGCTGGAGAGTGTAGACTGGCGGCGGCTGAGCGCCATAGACGTGGACAAGGTGGCCGGGGCTGTGGACGTGCTCACGCTGCAGGAGAACATCATGAATATCACCTTCTGCAAGCTGGAGGATGAGAAGTGCCCGCACTGCCAGTCGGGGGTGGACCCGGTGCTGCTGAAGCTCATCCGCCTGGCGCAGCTGTCCATCGAGTACCTGATGCACTCCCAGGAGTTCCTCACCTCGCAGCTGCACAACGTGGAGGAGCGGCTGCGCCTGAGCCTGGCCAACTGCGAGCAGAGCAAGGAGCTCCTCACCAAGCAGGCCGGGGAGATCAAGTTCCTCAAGGAAGAGTGTAAACGCAGGAAGAAGATGATCTCCACTCAGCAAATGATGATGGAGGCCAAAGCCAGCTATTACCAGGTGGGAAACTGTGTTGTGATTACAAATTCATAACCCCCCAAAAACCTCAATTCCCACTGGCCGGAATATTGAGAGCCCTTTAATCACTGTTTGCTTTTTGTTTTGCTTTAAGATTCGTACTGTAAATGAATAGAAACAGCATATTTAAATTAACCAAAACAGTAATTTTAACTATCAGATGACATGGTTCATTACCTTCTGTAGACTACCATAGGATTAATAATTAAAGAAGTAACACTGTCTGCAGTGCTTTATTTAAGTTATGTAAATGTTGGTCATTTAAGATGTTGTTTCTGCCCTGGCCGGTTTGGCTCAGCGGTTAGAACAGGGGGCCAGTGGCCCACAGGGTCCTGTGTTTGATTCCCAGTTAAGGGTATGTGCCTGGGTCGCAGGTTCAATCCTCAGCCCTGGTTACAGTCGTGGGGCAGGCAACTAATCTATGTGTCTCTCTAACATCGATTTTTTTTCCCTCTCCCTCCCTCCCTTCCACACTATCTAAAAAATCAATCAATGGAAAAATAACCTTGGGTGAGGATTAACAACAACAACAAAAGCTGTTTCCTTCTCCTAATCTGAGTAATGGAAAATAAACAGTGTACAAATTGCAGTTGAGGTTGGTCCCCAAATGATCTGGAATGATTACATTTGTGGATTTTTCTCATTTTTTATTTCAAAATATTTTCAAATTTATAGTTGCAACGATAGTGCAAAGAACTTCCATATACCCTTCAACCAAATCCGCCAATTATTAACATTTGCCACATTTGTTCTATTTCCTTGGCCTCTCTACATATTATTGAACTATTTGACAGTAAGTTGCAGACTCCTAAATATTTCAATGTGTACATTTTCTAAGAATAAGAAAACTCACTAATATAACAATAGTATTTAAAAATTTTTTTAAATTTGCTTTTCGGTTGATAATCTTCAACTGTTAATGGGTTGGACATTCAACCCAAGATAAATATGGTAGTTTTTTAATGTAACAGAAATCAACATATATATCTTTTTCATTAATTAGGTGGAGGAAGCACAAAAAGCATCAACAACATTTGATTTAAAAAATTGAAGTAAGCAACAGACTGACAGGATTGGCTTCACACCCTTACATTCTAGATATTTGGCTAAATATGGCTTAAAAAGTCTCGGTGGCTTTATGTAATAATGAATGCAGAAAATCGATAAATGGCGCAGAAAATGGTGGGGTTAATAGTGCAGAGGACTGTTCTGGCCTGTATGGCTCAGCGGATGGAGCCTCGGCCTGGGGACCAGAGAGTCCCAGGTTCAGTTCCTGCTAGGGGCACGTACCAAAAAAAAAAAAAATGGTGCTTAGGACTGACCCAACAGGACTGTTGAAAGAAGTGTACTTAAAAGAAGTGAACAGCCCTGGACGGTTTGGCTTAGCAGTTAAGAACATCGGCCTGTGGTCCAGGGAGATCTGGGTTCGGTTCCCGCTGAGGGCACGTGCCTCGGTTGTCCTGGCCCTTGTTGGGTCGTGGGAGAGGCAGCCACTCCAAAGTGTCCCTTTTGCGTCCCTTTTGTGACGATGTTTCTCTCTCTCTCTTCCTCTCTCTCCCTCCTACTTTATCTGAACAAAAAAAATGGAAAAGTGTCCTGGGGTGAGGATTAAAAAAAAAAAAAAAAGTGAACATCCCTGGCTGGTTTGGCTCAGTGGAGCGTGGGCCCGAAGACCGGAGAGACCCGGGTTTGGTTCCTGCTAAGGGCACGTACCTCTATTGAAGTTTGTCCCCTGCCCTGGTTGGGGTTGTGTGGGTGGCAACCACTCAATGTGTCTCTCTCACATTGGTGTTTCTCTCTCTCTCTTCGTCCCTCTCTCCTTCCGATTCTATCTGAAGATAAATGTTTAAAAAAAAAAAAAGTGAACAGTTGGGAAAGAATACTGTTAGAAAGGCTTAGTGTTTGTTTATCTTTGGGTACACAACCTGAGATATCATTGTCAAATGATACTTGATGTTGCTAACTGCCTATTTGTTTTATAAATGCTATTTAAAATCTAAATATTTATAAATAGTGCTGAAAAGGCTCTTTGTAAACATGTCTTTTTTTTTTTTTTAATCCTCACCTGAGGACATTTTTCCATTTTCTGTTCAGATAGAGTGGGGGGGGGGGGGAGAGAAACATCGACGTGAAAGGGACACATCGAGTGGCTGCCACCCACATGACCAACCAGGGCCGGGGACAAACTGCAACCGAGATTCATGCCCTTGGCAAGAACCGAACCCCGGTCTCTCTGGACCGCAGGCCGGCACTCTAACCGCTGAGTCAAACTGGCCAGGACTAAACATATGTCTTATATAATGAATACAATGAGTGTATTTAAACATTAAAAGAAGTTTATCCTACTAAAGATTAGGTACTAATCCAATAAAATGTTAAAACCTATAACAGAAAATTTATATTTATAAACAGTTTTTCATTATTTTGGTTACCATAGAAATAGCTGTTAGTAAATCAGGATTTTAAAATGTGAATGATACATAAGAATAAAGAGGTAGTGAATAGCTCAGTTTTATCAAATAGGTAACATCTGCCAACTCCAGGCCACTCAGTGGACTCAGAATGACTGTGATAGCTGTATGGTGAGTGCAGGTGTGACAGAGAAGAGGTCGGAGGAACCAGAGCACCTTTTCCTTTGTTGTAAAGGTACACTCTGCCCTCTATTAAGTGGCTTGACATTGTCTCTTTATGGAGTCATTGAGCAGTTTGAGTGCTCTAAGGTGACAATTCCAGCATTAACTGCCTGGTTTTGAATCCTAGCTGTTCCACTATGCAAGTCATTTAACTTCTAAACCTCAGTTTCCTCAATCGGGAAAATGAGAATATTAGTAGTAGCTACCTTTTCAGGTTGTTCTGAGAATTCCATGAGATATAAAGCAGGAGGAAAACTCAGTACATAGCATCTCACATATGGTTGTTGGTTTCTGCAGTGGTTTCTTGGTAGTGAGCTACCTATGATCTCTTTGTGAATCCTCAGACCTTTTTTTAGGAACTCATCATATAGTGGGGGTATAGAAAAAAAGGCCAGAGGTCACGATGTTGATGCTGTAAGAATCAGGGATTCAGGGAGGGGTAGTCAAAGACTGTTGCTAAGAATGGTTGGCACATAAGCTAGCTGGGGTTCCATGGTGTTATAATCATTGAAACTCCAGTTTCATAAGCTGGGGATATTTGGCCTAAAATAAATTTATGGGAAGACAATTGATTCTGTTTAATCATGTGACTTTAGCATGCATTCATGAATTTGTGTTTAAGTAGAGACCTTCTATAGCTGAGGAAGTCTGATGGCCACGTGTATAGGCCTGTGGGTGTACCAAGGATCTGGCTATCAAATTATATATTTTTTATTATTTAAAAAAATTTAAAATACTAGTGCATCATAAGAGGACTTAGACTCATTCTAAGAAGACCTTTCGTTTTCATAGCTGGAGGACTCAGATTCCTCTCCATGCTCCAGCAACACAGGCTGATTTTGGAATCTGTTGGTGAATTTCTGTTACTGCTTCCAATTATTCAGCCCCTTGGAGCTGGAGATGAGCATTGGGGAGTAAAAAAAGCATACTTTTTGCAGTCAGAGAAACATAGATTAAAATATGCAATTGATAATCCTGTAACAATTTTTCTGAGCTTTGATTTCTTCCTAAAGTGGTGGTCATGGAAATTTAAAAAGATAACAATGTAACAGGACCTAGGTCAGAGTAGATACAGTTGGAAATGTTGGTTTCTTTATCCACGGTTTCTCCCTGCTATTGCTTTTGAGAGATCTCAAAATTCTGGAGGAATAGAAAATGTTTATCCTACTTCATGTTGGTCAAGGAATCCAAGTTCTTGTGTTAATTCCATTATATTAAATGCTTTTCTTTCTTTCTTTCTTTCTTTTTTTTTTTATCCTCACCCAAGGACATTCTTGCATTTAGCTTCAGATAGAGTAGGAGGGAGAGTGGGGGGAAGAGAGAGAGACACATCTAGTGGTTGCGAGAGAGAGAGAGTGGTTGAGAGAGAGACACATCTAGTGGTTGCCACCCACACGACCCCAATCAGAGCTGGGGACAAACTGAAACCAAGGCACATGCACCTAGCGGGAACTGAACCCAGAACTCTCTGATCTGCAGGTTGACTCTAACTGCTGAGCCAAACTGGCCAGGGCAAATGTTTTTTATTTTTTAATAATTTTGGATAGAAGTTGTATTAAGACATTTACATATTTTACATTGCATATGATCTACATGTAGTCTACATTCTTTTTTTTTTTTTATCCTCACCTGAGGATATTTTTCCATTTTTTGTTCAGACAGAGCAGGAGGGAGAGAGAGGAAGAGAGAGAGAGAAACATCGATGTGAAGGGACACATCAAGTGGCTGCCACTCACACGACCAACCAGGGCCGGGGACAAACTGCAACCGAGGTACATGCCCTTAGCGGAAACCGAACCCGGGTCTCTCTGTACCACAGGCCGACGCTCTAACCGCTGAGCCAAACCAGCCAGGGCTAGTCTACATTCTTAAACTAAGTATTCTGAACGTAATTTGATGTATTCTCTCCTTGGGGTTGTCATGGAAAGAGTGTCAGATTCCTTTCTATGAACATAACAGTACCTAACATTTCTTAATTCGTTGTGTCACATTTTTCTTTTCTAAAAATGCTTTATGGAATACTTCTTTGATATAGTTTATATCATTCATCTACATATCAAATTCATATACATATATATATAAAACTATCTTTAAACACTTTTAAAAAGTCTTTTTTTAACTCATCTTTATTGTTGAATGTATTATAGATGTACCCCCCCCCCTTTTTTTTCCTATTGAACCCTCCTCCCCAATCCTGCCCCCCTTCAGCCTTCCCCACACTACTGTCGGTGTCCACTGTGTATGCATATATGCATAGAAGTTCTTTGGTTAATCTCATCTCGCCCTTCCTCCCCCTATCCCTTTGAGGTTCATCAGTCTAACAACCAATTTGTACTTCTTAATACCTTC